GGGGGGGGGGGGGGGGGGGGGGGGGGGGGGGGAGTGGAGGGGAGGTGAGGCTCTGAGTGCGGAAGAGAGTTTTCTTCAGTTTTAGCCCGGCTACTTGTACCGCTGCGGGGGGGGGGGACGAAAGATCGTTCTGCCCCTCCCCTCCCTCCTTCCCTTTCCCTCCCTGGTTTCGCCAGTGGATTTTGCCGCTGTGCTGCTTGTGACTTTTCCAGTTGCTCTGACCAGTTCTTCACTCTAGTGGTCAGTCTGGTAGCGATCCTGACGTTTTAGCTCCTGAAGGGATTGCCGGCTCAGTGTTCCTACCGAAAAAAAGCACTTGGAAAATTTTATCTGTTTCAAGATGTCTTTTTTGTAAGCTGGGCATTCTCACCTTGTTCCGCTAAGGTATTTTACCCGAAAAAAAGTATCCTTTATTTAAGTATATCAAGTAACAATCGTGGTAAAATCACGATAATTTTAGGTTGGCTATCACGAGTTGAAAGAGAGGAAAAACCATTGCCGGTAGCAATTGCTCTTATCCCCTACGATACAGTGATCAGTGCCACTGATTTATTCATCACTCATTTGGCAAGGTCTGTGAACTGTTCAGTACTTTTTGAACATTTGCTAAGCAAAATAGCTCGTTTCCTAATCTTCTGTTTCAGTGGAATTGCGAAAATCTACGAAAAGATGAATCATAAGTCAGAGGAACTTCATTTTTTTAAAAAATTCAATTAATTAGGTTTTCTTAGGTTTAAAAAAAAATTAGGTTTTAATTAAAATTAGGTTTTTAGGTTTTAATTAAAAAATTAGGTTTTTTACTAACTAATTAGGTTTTTTAAAAAATTTAACTAACTAAAAAAAACTAAAAAATTCAACTAAAAATTTAACACGTTAGCCAAAAGCGCTTGGAGAACTGTTTTATCTAGGAGCACTAGAATCATTAGTAGTTGGCTGAATATCAAGAAACAGCAACCGTAATATACGCAGTATTTTTGTGATCAAACGATGGCCGATTGGAATTTTAAGTCAAATAAAAATCGCAAAATTTTTTATTGGAATTGAAAAATACATTATTTTTTAGACGTGAAGGAGTTATGGTACTCATAGCATTTCTTATCCTAAAATTACTCAGCCATGGTGTATTTGTTAACCTCATACATTTGTTTGGTGATCTATATCAGAATATTGATTATGTGATCCTTTTTTTCACGAAAACTTGGGTAAGCCTCTTTTTTTTGCTCTCAATTTTCGAAAAATCCTCAAAAAACTTAGAATTTGTTTACTTCCTCGGCGATTTGAGCTAAGACGTATATGACTTAATGGACCGAACCGTCTTAACCTACCGCTTTTTATATTTATGCATATTTACTTCGCTCCACGCTTTCGTCCCCTAAGCTTCTAGGATCTACTTGTACACTACAATCAGCTTCGCATGTATTTATTGTTTTTTGCGATGACTGGTAGAAAAGCCATGTTCTATTTCCCTCCAGAATAAAGTCCGCGGATTCTGCATTTTAAAAACATGAGGCTTATGACTCAGCCAAAATCCTTTTTCTTCACGAAAACTTGGTTAAGCCTCTTTTTTGTTTTCACTTTTTGGAAAACCCCCAAAAAAATTTAGAATTTATTTATTTCCGCGGCGATTTGAGCTAAGACGTATATGACTTAATGAACCGAACCGTCACTTAACTCACCGCTTTTTATATTTATGCGTATTTACTTCGCCCCACACCTTCGCCCCCTAAGCTCCCAGGATCTACTTGTACACTACAATCAGCT